CATTCATCTTAATGTTTTTGTCTTCCATTTAGCTCAATGATTCAATCATCAGGCGAGAGGGCAGCAATGAGCAGGGAACCGCGCCCGCCATGCGCGGGCTGCAAGTTCCTGCGCAGAAAATGCCAGCCCAACTGCATCTTCGCCCCTCACTTCCCCTCCAACCAACCCCACAAATTCGCCGACGTGCACCGAGTCTTCGGAGCCAGCAACATCGCCAAACTCCTCAACGATTTGCCTCCCAACTTGCGCGATGACGCGGTGCTATCCCTCGTCTACGAAGCCCAGATGCGGCTCCACGATCCCGTCTTCGGCTGCGTGGGCATCATACTCGTGCTGGAGGATCAACTGCAGAGGCTCAAGTCCGATCTGTCGCGCGCGTGGGGGGAGCTGATGGGGTTGGAGATGGCTGCGGGGATGCAGGAGCAGCAAAGGATGATGATGATGATGATGATGATGGCGGCGAGTGGCAGCGGGGCGGTTGATGATTCCGGTTTAGTGACCGGTGGTTCGTTTGGTGGGCAGCTGGGAGTGGCGGAGGCTGCCGGAGGAGATGATGAGGGGTATTGTGGAGGTATTTTATTTAAAATTTTATATACAAGTGAGAATATATTAATAAGTGAAACTTCACATTCATGGTTGTCCCTGTTTTTTCGGACTCATAGAATTGAGATTAAGCTTGAGCTCGATCCCGATTAATCAAGTAAGTTTAAGCTCAAATCTAAGACGGTTCTAACTTCACTCATTTACACTTAGTTTTATTAGAGAATTTTCCATCCGGACGATCAATCTCTGACAGTCATGTCACCATTCACGTCATGGACAGACGACGTGGCTGCCAGTGGTTGGTCGTCTAAACGGAATATTTTTCTAGTTTTAAGGCTTTATCATGATTTTAAGGTGTTCATAGTTAGAGGCCTAAATAATAATAATAATAATAATGAAATAAATCCAAATTATAATAGTTTAATCTTCAAATAGATTATTTGTTTTGGTATCATTATTTTGTTAGTGAAGATTAAAGTAACAAAAGTTTTAATTATTATAAAAAAATCAACCATTTTCTTGCAGAGAGCATTTAGCATAGACTTGAGAAATAAATTTAATAATTTTTTTGGGATAGTTAGATAAAGACCACCTGAAAGATTGATATTTTCAGATTAGCCACCCAAGTGATTTTTTTGAACTACTGAACTGAAGTATTTACGCGTGTCACGATCAAATTATTGAAAATTTTATAAAAATGAAACATACAGGCTGGGTCTTTACATGAATTTTGATATTTGAGTGAAATTTAAAAAAATGAAGGAAATAGGGTGGTTGATTTGTAAATAGAAAGTTTTGGTAATTATTGAAAATTTTATAAAAATGAAACATACAGGTTGGGTCATTACATGAATTTTGATATTTGAGTGAAATTTTGAAAAATGGAGGAAATAGGGTGGTTGATTTGTAAATAGAAAGCTTTGGTTATACATTAAAGTTTGATATTTATATTTATAACACATTGATGTTATAAATCGCTACATAAAAATCAACAAAATGATATCTTTGATGTGATGTTAAAGATTTGATTGTTAAGACTATAAAGTCTGAGGTTTAAGCGCTAAATATACAAATTCATAAGAATTAATTATGTTATGTACATATGCAAATATCCCCTTTTTAATGACTAATTTTATAATTTTTTTTTAGTTGCAGGAGTTGGGGATTATCTCCCATAGCTGAAGTGAGGAAGCCGATGAAGAGGCTTACATGCACTTCTACTGCTACTTGTAAACCTTCTTTCTCCTCCAAGTCCATTAATGGTTCCCAACCTCTCTTTTTAGCAATTTTCTTAGGTGAATTTCCATATGAATATTAAGTACTTTATAAATATAAACTAATTTTGATTTTAGCAAATTTAAGTCTTATTTCTATGTTTGTTTGTTAATAAATGATTGTGTTGGATGATTGCATTAATGACTATGTTTATCATGTTAACATCGACTTTAGTAGAGTATCATGGTAAGGAAGACATATTACATGTGTTACATGTATGTGCAGAGCGGATCTGGCATACGTGATAAAATAAATTTGTATGTAAAGTGTAGCAGTGAATATGAATACTTGGATGAGCATTCAAAAGCAAGATATCTTAGTAGAGATGCTTACAATTCTTTGCATGATATTATCATTGAGGGTTTTATTTTTGAAATCAAGTGATATGTAGCTATTAAGGGAATGCATACCCATGTGTAATAATCATAAATAAAAGAAAATATGCTCCAAATAAACCATCATAGGTGTGTAAAGCCGAACTGGTTGGCACTTCAGTTGGCAGCGGTGTTGTAAGTACCTTGGTGCTCGGGTTTAAGACTCGCCTTGAATAACACATTATCAGCTTGGGGGGACTGCAAATATTGCAGTCCATCTTTAAGAGAAAAAAAACCATGAATTGAGGTTGCAAGATTTTATACACTTGTTTGCATTTAAAAATTATTGAAGTGCATTCCATGAAAGACATGTATATATGCGTATAGTCCTAATACAAGTTTATAGGATTGTTCATACTTAAGGCATAAAATTGGAAGAACATGCCCTGAAAGTCTTGCATATGTGGTGTATGATTTTAAATTTTAGTTTAGAGGATTATACACACTATTCTATAGAATAAAAGTTAAAGAACTTCCCTCAAAATAGCTTTATTGAGGTGCATATACCCTAAAATTGATTTTATAAAATTTTAATCACATGTCCAACACAAAGGATGGAAAAACTTACCCTAGAACACATGTATACATTTATGTAAAACTCATTAATTAAATTTGCATTGTTTACACGTGATCTCACACCTTCCTAATTTTGTGGAAAAAATAAAGTGATACAAGTGTAAGTGGGCGACAATCAAGATAAGTTAAAATAACAAATTCTTCAGCATTTAAACTTGATGTTAATGAGTATGATGTTCATCTTATTTGTCACTTCCCAATAAGTGTTGGATTTATGGTCACACATGTAACAGATTATGATTCATGTGAAACAGCAATATCAGAAACATATGCACTCTCTGGTAATATACGTTAAAGTATAACCAATTCAAGGAAATATACCAACAAATGTGAGTAAGCTAGTAAGTTTTCATGAATCACAATAATGTCTTATTAGATGAGTCAAGAGTCAACAGAGCTTAATTGTGTGATTCAAATGTGAGTGCATATTTTGTAAAAGCATAAAATTTTATATTTTAGATTATTTGTGCATTAGATTAATGAAATGTTATTATTTTTTACATGCAGGCCAACTACTTCAAGGCCTAACCCATTGATGCTAGCACGTCAAAATATAGTATGCTCACACAAATAGAATTTTTTAATGAGCCTAAACTATATAAAAGTTACTCACCAAATATATGCATCCATGAGCAGTATGTGAGAAAAAATATAAAAAACAGATGATAGTTTATCTGGCCAAACTCTAAATAAAGTGATTCTAATGATTTAGATAATTTAGACATTATAGATTCAACCAGGTTAAGAAGGAATGACATATTACATGATGTTGCATTAAATAAATTTCTTAATCAAATTATATCTAATAATGATTTTTCTCAATTTTATCAAAATGCTCAAATGTGGGATGCATATGTTAATTTTGATGGTCCTTTTGACCATCATATAGAAAACACGAAGAGTTTAGTTTCTTTTAATTTGCATGTTGGTATGATCTTACAAAAAAAATTTGTATTACATAAGACCTTAAATACATGATCCATTAGCAATATATTGAATATAAGAGATTCATTTTAAATATATCTAAATTATCAATTACATATGCTCATCATGATTATGTAATAAGACATTAGGGGTGGTATTCATATGCTACAAAAAAATAAGCTTTAAGAGATGCATGGCGTGTCTCAACCATTATATGTCTACATATATGTAGTCATTCAAGTATGCAAAAGAGATCACAAACAATGAACTTCTAAATTTATTTGTCATTTTATAATTCTATGCATACGTCACCAAATAGATATAAAATTAAGCAAAATAATTGGGCATACTGAAGCCAAATTTAGCTTGAGTCATATATATGAAGACTTCGGATGTAAGGTGAAATAAAATTAGAATAATATTTAGTAGTTGAGAAGAGTAATATAAGCATTTGTATCATTTTATGGAATTTATCAGAAATATAACGACCAACTCTATTTATAGAATTAATTTTACCCCAGCATCATTTTAAAAGTTTGTTTTGGATTTTTGAACCATCACTTTGAGGCTGGTGCCACTGTTGTCTAGTGTTAAGTCTTAATGGTACATTTTTATTAGAAAAGCATAGAGGAATACTCTTAATTGATATTGGTATCAATGCTAATAACAGTCTATTCTCACTTCAATTGTATAGTTCAGTCTAAATCAAATGATTCATGGATGTGATTTTTACGTAACCTGCATTCCTCCATTGAAAGCATTAGGTCAAGACAAGATCTTTGTATGGTGTTAGATAAGCATTCTGGTTTGATCCGTGGTTGCAGAGGCCTTTTCTTGGACTGGACATCATAATTATTTTTGTTATTTATGGGAGACTTTTAAGAAATATGTGCACCAAAAGAGACTAAAAGATGCAGATCTGTTAGAAAATGTATGCTACTGAAAAAACAAACTTTAATAATTTTACTTTGCAAATGTATGGTTTTTTTAATGTAAAAAAGGAATGTCCCGACATTATTAAGTAATTTTAGCGTCGGAACATTCTGACGCTATTCTGGTGCTATTGGGTTGATTTATCCTCGGAGCTTGATGCAAATCTTCTGTGTCAAAATTTTCAATCTTAAAACAACGTGCGACGCTAAATGGATGTAAATCGGACACTAATTTTGCATCGAATTTGAGTCTGACGCTAATCCGTATCCTGTAGTCTACAGGCTTCTCTTTTTTGTTTTAACTTTAATATGTACGCAATATTTAAATGAGTGCAAGAAATTTGTAAGATTCCAATAAGTTAGATCTGACTAAGTTAAGTTTACACCTTTGTGAGGGCAGTCCGGATCAAGAGCTTAGCATGCTCGACTCCTCCTCGAGTAGATATTTGGTTGTAAGGTTTCACAGAGTTTTGTTCAGGATTCGAGCAGATTTTATGAAGCATTTCAGCAGGGCGTTAGCAAGTTTTAAGGCTTTCTATGAGCTGTCTAGCAGCAGGATTCCAACAACATTTCAAATGGATTCAAGAGCTGATTCATTGTTGATTTGATATAGGTTTGGGTGGTATTAAAGGGGCTGTTTGGTGGCTTATTTGGAGGCTATTTGGTGGCAAACTTTTGGCAGGAAGATCCTCTAAATTAATAAATTTATGCATGCAAAGATTGAAGTTTATATGCTGGATATGCAAATGGATAAGAATTGAGTGATATGCATGCAAATATTTAATTTTTTGCGAGGGATATGTAAAAACATAAGAATAATGTCATGTGCAATTCTTATATTAAATTCCAACGTAAAACAGTCAAACTTCAATCAAATTTCCGGAATCAATGAATAATACACAAATGAATCGTATTTTGGGATATCCAAGCCTCTATGAGATCATTTATGTATTTACCACGCAATTCCTCTGCATTCGCATATCTGAAATTTAGATTTTAATATTCCAATTTTTATATCAAATCTTAAATACAATGTAATTGACTTTAAAAAAAAAACGAAGCACGCATCTTCAAAGATAGTTTGATTATAACAATATGAAACTCAAGTGAAGTTGTTAGATATGCAAATACATAGGAGTCATGTGGTATGTACCTAAAAACTCCCTCCTTTGTTTGCCTTTTAAACGCAAAAGAGATGATTGAAAAGAAATGTCAGCAGTATAACTGATGTGATACATATGCATGATCTTTCCAACACAAATGAAATTGAATGAGGCAAATTCACAAGAAAAATCAAGGTATGGAATTTAATTCAAGCAATATGAAATCCATCACATTCTCCACAAGCATTTTGTTAGATAGGTGGAATGAGGTCATAAAGCCTATGCAAGAATGCATAACTTAGATGATCAAAAGCAACCACATATATAATTTGTCATAATTTACACAAACATTTCAGTTGAATGAGTAATTTAGACATCCAACACGTTTACATGAAGAGAAATTAAGAAAACATACTTACTTAAGAAATACATGTATACCTTCACGAGGTGGATTAAGGTGGGCCATTTCGCTCATTCGACTCCTCTTTATATAACCTTTACTGCAATTACAAAATTACCGTGCTCTTCCATCTGGCCCTTGTCTGGTATATATGAGTCGTACCTAACAAACATATAAGGTATGTCTGACGGCTAGAGAGATGGGGGAGGAGTGGGAGTGAGGTGGGTGGCTGTTGGTGG